GTTTGTTTCTGTTTTTGTTGTTTGGGTATTCTTCCCACTGGGTTTGATCAACTGTCTAACTTGATCAAATCTGAAGGAAAGTTCCAAATTATGGGGAATAAGGCCTCTGAGATGGCTAAATTCTCTCTCTCACACAGACAAAAGGTTGTGTGGTAGGGGTAGAAAAATGGCCAGCAAAAAGAAGAAAAGAAAAAATTTTGAATACTCAAGATGCTTTATTTACACAACAAGGCCACCTTTTTGCTAGCCAGGCAAAACTGAAAGAGCAGTGTCTGACACCCCACACTGCAGTTCCATAGTTAAGAGTTCTACCTTTTTTTTTTTTTTCCCCACCATGACAGCCTGGGTTTGGTTCCTAAATGATGCACTTTCTGGTCTGATACTTGGTACTTCTGAAATAGCAATCATTCTAGCTGAAATATGGTAATGAGATTTAAAAAGATTTTTTAAAAAGAGCTCAGTGGTTAAAGGTCAGCATAATTAAAAGCTAACATCCAAGATGTGTGTATGTGTTTGTATTTAAAAGGCCTTCATGCTTTTGTTTTTGATTTTGTTTAGCACCTTTTTTTGTTTGAGCAAAAGGTTTTTTTCTTCTCGGTTGACTGAATTCTGTTTTATTCCTTTACTTCTGCTGTCTCTCATTTCTCTTGCACCCTCTGCTGCATGAGGGACCTAAATAGTTTATAATAGCCTGGGGTTTCTTAAAGAAAAAGAAAGTGCTAGACTTTCTTTTGGGGAGAAACTGCTGTTTTTCCTTATGGAACCCCAAAAATATAAACAAAAAAATTTGTCTCAGCTCTTAAACTACTTATTTTTGTATTTTGTGACCTGTTTTTTTGACTCAAATTGTTATTGCAACAGAGGCTACTCTTGGGTTTTAAAAGAAGAGTGTAGTTTAGACACTTAGAAATGTCTTTGCTTAACAATTATTTTAAGTGCACTATAAAAGCATCATGGGGTCTAGCCTTATAATAATTCTCCCTTTTTGGAGACTCAGGATTCAGTGTGGGCTCTGCCCAGAGCTCAAAGATCCAGTTAAAAGATAAGTAGTCCCTATCTAAATAAAATTTGTCTCTTCATACAAACCTGTGATAGATTTCTATAATTTTATGTTTGATTTGGTGTCCATCTTTAATTTCCATTACGTACCAACAGAGTTTTTCTCTCCTCTGTATATTGACATGTAAATTTTTCTATCTGATATTTCATCTAAGAGTTGTTTTATTCAATATATAGATTTAGGGTTATTAACCTGCCAACTGCCAGGGTAATGAAACAGGTTATCGAGAGTTTGCAAATCTAAGGCAGGAAAAAAAGTAGATCTTATGAATCTGTAAGATGTACTTCTATTGGTATGCCTAATCCAGCTATGTATTTATGTGTTTTATACATAATGTTTCATTACTAAAAATACATAAAGAGGTCTAATTAATTGGCTTAAAGAAAAATAAAAGTGCTCAAATCAAATATTTTATCAGAAGAAAGGAAAGACTAATCAAATGCTTTTTCAAGTTTACATGACTTTAAGTAAAATCTTTGATAAATAAGCTAGCTTTAAATTATTGGTAAAGTAATATTAGAAATGTCCTAAGAATTGCCAGTATCCATTTTTGTTTGCATCAAGCAGTTTTTTTGATCAAGCAATTTCATACGTATCCTGCCAGATACTATCAGGTGTCAAAATCTGGCATAAGAGTTAACAAAACTATAAACCCAGACCAAAATAGAATGATCTTTGCCTGTGTAATTTTTAATAAACAAGACATTGATATTGGTTTAATGAAAATAGCTACATCTTGAATTATTTAGTATAATTACCATAACTGCTAATCTTGTGCCTTTAGGCAGTCTAGTCCACAGGCAATAAGGAGGTTTTTTATTTTTTGAGACGGAGTTTCGCTCTTGTTACCCATTCTGGAGTGCAATGGTGCAATCTCAGCTCACTGCAACCTCCACCTCCTGGGTTCAGGCAATTCTCCTGCCTCAGCCTCCTGAGTAGCTGGGATTACAGGCATGTGCCACCACGCCCAGCTAATTTTTTTTTTGTATTTTTAGTAGAGACGGGGTTTCACCATGTTGACCAGGATGGTCTCAATCTCTTGACCTCGTGATCCACCCTCCTCGGCCTCCCAAAGTGCTGGGATTACAGGCTTGAGCCACCGCGCGCGGCCTAGGAGGTTTGTTTTGGGAAAGGACTGTTACTGTCTTTGTTTCAAAACCAAACTATGAACTAAGTTCCTCCCAAAGTTAGTTTGGCCTATGCCCAGGAATGAACAAGGACGCTTGGGGGTTAGAAGCAAGATGGAGTCAGTTAGGTCGTATTTTTTTCACTGTCTCAGTTATAATTTTGTAGTGGTGAGTTTCATAACTTTGATGACTATTGCAGTTTTTATAAATAATCTAGGTAAACAGTTAAAGTAATTAGGTAAATGTAATGGGATAAATACTTGTAGACAAACTTGTCATAATGTAGAATCTAAAGTTATATTAAATAATAGATATTTCATTACTTGGGTATTTTCCAATAAAAATACATTGTAGGAAAACATTCTTTCTAAAAGTCATTTTTAAAAAGGTAAAAGAATTTTGTCTGATTGGAAGCTTATTTAAACATTATGCATAAAATAAGGTTAAAGGAACCAGGAAATAAGAGAGACATAAAGAAAAGAAATCTATAGAAATAAACAGTTTGGTAAGAAAGATTAAAGAGAAATAATTTTATATGGGAAAGAATTTTGTATTGTCGATTTAGTCCTAGAATAAGATGACTGGTTGTTTAATAGAGGGGGATGTTCAGGACAAACAAGAAAGTCCAAGTATATTATGAATGGTCTGTGTAAGTCACAAAAAGGATTTATTAAAACAAAACCAAATACTTTTATATAATCAAGTTGTCTATAATTAAAGAGAAACTATAATAGTCTTTCTAGACATTGGGTTTGATGTTAAAAAAATTTTTTTATACCTTGCAAATTGAAGCTAGGCAACTTAAACTTCAGAAGAAAATAACAACCACCTATCTACATACATAAGCCACTTTCATACCTGCCTACTAATATATGGATTTCAGAGTAATGTGGCCTATATCAATTTTCTAGGATTGTTCTTTTGTTTCTTGTTGTTTTTCTCCTTTCCTCCCTCTATTTTCTCTTCATAGGACATGACACTTTACAACCCACCAAAAATGAGCTTTCCTAATAACTTGGGATCTACCTGTCTAGGAGGAAGTCATCCTAGCCATGATAGATCAGATGAAACCTGAAAGCAGAGACTCATTTTCTTTTAAAATGCTTTCTCCGAAAGATTTTATTTTATGTATGTATGTACTTATTTATTTGAGACAGAATTTCACTCTTGTTGCCCAGGCTGGAGTGCAGTGGTATGATCTTGGCTCACTGCAACCTCTGCCTTTAGGGTTCAAGTGATGCTCCTGCCTCAGCCTCCTAAGTAGCTGGGATTACAGGCATGTGCCACCATGCCTGGCTAATTTTGTATTTTTAGTAGAGACAGGGTTTCACCATGTTGGTCAGGCTGGTCTCGAGCTCCTCACCTCAGGTGATCCACTTGCCTCAGTCTCCCAAAAGTGCTGGGATTATGGAAATGAGCCACCATGCCTGGGCACTCTAAAATATTTTTTTTAAATGGGGGTGGGGTGGGGAATGTGAAAGGATAAAATAAATCTTGGGACCCTGAAATCACTAAGCTAAAGGGAGAAGCCAAGCTGGGAACTGCTTAGGGCAAACCTGCCTCCCATTCTATTCAAAGTCTTCCCTCTGCTCACTGAGATAAATGCATATCTGATTGCCTTCCTTGGAAAGGTTAATCAGAAACTCAAAAGAATGCAACTGTTTATCTCTCACCTACCTGTGACCTGGAAGCCCCCTCCCTGCTTGAGTTGTCCCATCTTTCTGGATGGAATCAATGTACATCTTACATATGTTGATAAATATTTCATGCCTCCGTAAAATGTATGAAAACCAAGTTGTGTCCCAACAACCTTGGACACCTGTCAGAAACTCCTGAGGATGTCTCACAGGCATGCAACCTCAATCTTGGCAAAATAAACTTTCTTCTAAATTAACTGAAGGCCAGGTGCAGTGGCTCATGCTTATAATCTCAGCACTTTGGGAGGCTGAGGTGGCCACATCAGTTGAGGTCGGCAGCTCAAAAACAGCCTGGCCAACATGGTAAAACGCTGTCTGTACTTAAAAATACAAAAATTAGCTGGGCATGGTGGCAGGCATCTGTAATTCCAGTTTTTTGGAAGGTGAGATAGGAGAATCACTGGAACCTGGGAGGTGGAGGTTGCAGTGAGCCGAGATTGTGCCATTGCACTCTAGCCTTGGTGACAGAGCAAGACTCAGTCTCAAAAAAATAAAAATAAATTAATGGAGACCAGAGACCTGTCTCAGATATTCGAAGTTCACAGGTATATACTTGAACAGGTAATCCAAAACTGTGTATATATCACTTTAACATAGAGACGTTGGACCTAGCTCCTGTATGATTTTCATGTTGGGCTAATATACAAAACAAAGCATTTGGAGTTGGGGAGCTGAGGAGCAGAAACACAGCAAGAAACACCTTAGTCATTGTGATAGTTGTCCTCTAGTGTACTATGTGTACTCATAGTGGGTTTTGTGGCCTCATCCTACATATTATTAATTCTTGTACCCCAAGTTAGAAATACTTTGACCAGCCATAAACACACAAATCATTTCCTATTTGCAGAAATTTCCTTTTGCAGGAATGGAAGACAAGTGAGTCATTTTTTTCTTGCAAGAAAACAGGTTATTTATTAAAGAGATGATTACAAAAATGCCCCAAATCCCTGAATTTTTGCCTTTCTTGTATGTGTTAATTCAAGGTAGTTGGTGAAATTCCAAAGGACAGTTGACATTTTAAGAACACTAACTACTTGGTTCCTTAATCATAAGGATGTCCTTTGCTCAGTATTTCATAGAAGAGTATTACAGAGTGTTTTTGGCTTTCATTCTGGAACATTGCTTGGCTTCTGGTAAGCTAGGTTCACTTTGCTGCCTGAAGGTCCTTCTGTAGAGAGAGAAAATACAATAAATTATGCACTGAAATACATCAGCTGACTGCAGGCACAGTCTGAGCCAACCAGGACACCATCCCTCTGATCCCAGTGCCTGCTTCAGGGGTGAGGGTATGGACCAAGTCAGGCCAATGGGAGTCCCAGAGACTATTTTTGAATGATTGTTGTTTGAACTATTAGGGAAGGAAATGGAAGGTGAAGCTTCTGAGAGGTGGGACTTCCATGCAGAGGCAAAACGGAGCCCATCCAGTGGAGCCGAGAGATTGATTATGGTGTCATCCTTCAGGCCCTCAGTCGAGCCACTGCTGAAACTAGTACCATCAGCGGATGTGTAAGACCTATAGGTTTTATTGCTGTTGCTGAACCCAGTCAGTTTTGGCTGGGCTTCCTGTCCCTGGTAGCTGTACTTCAGTTGGCATTCACGTGATGGATCCAAGGGTGACTTGAAGTTAAGTGGTGTGTCCCAATTACATGTAGTCATGGAGTGTGAGAGCTGGGGGGCGGGAGGGAACTAACATGGAGGGAAATGCTGATTTTACCTCACTCTAGTTATTGATATGGCCACAGATATATATTGTTTGGGGTTAAGTCAAAACAGGAATGTACAACTTGTGAGATTTGAGCTAAAATGAAAGAAGTTGATATCTTCATGGTCAGATTTCATATTCATTAAGCAGATTTATCAAGATGGGACCATCTAAGGGTTATGAAGATTCTAAATTTTACTCTCTCATCTTCTGGAGACTCATCTTCATCATTTAACCCTTTTTTTTTTTTTTTTTTTGAGATGGAGTCTCACACTGCTGTTATGGCTGGAGTGCAACAGCATGATCTTGGCTCACTGCAACCTCTGCCTCCCGAGTTCACGTGATTCTCCTGCCTCAGTAGCTGGGATTACAGGTGCACACCACCACACTTGGCTAATTTTTTGTATTTTTAGTAGAGATAGGGTTTCACTATGTTGGCCAGACTGGTCTCGAACTCCTGACCTCATGATCTGCCTGCCTTGGCCTCCCAGACTGCTGGGATTACAAGGGTGAGCCACTGTGCCTGGCCCATTTAACCTCTTACTTGTGACAAAGTTGAATAAAGGAAGCAAGGTTTCCTTCAAAATTGTCACTGGGTTGAGAGTCAGATAGAGGGGAAGAAAGGGAAATTTGACTCACGGCAGCAGAGAATGAGAGGCTCTAGGAAGACAGCAGGTGACAGTGAGGATGAGTCAGGTATGCACAGTGGTGAAATTTAGAGAAATGATGGAGATATATTCAGTAAGCATGAGAGTCCTTGTGTGGACCACAGGACCAATTATTTGATTATACATGGTGGTCAAGAGTGACTTCCTGTTAGGTTAGGACTTGTGTGGTGCCTGAAATTACAGTAAGCAGTAATTCTGACTGGGAGAGAGTGGGGAGGATGGATGGAGCAGAGAGGGCAGCCAGGAACAGACTGTGATGCCCGGCCTCTCTGGCCCCATTCACTTCTCTGAAGATGCAAGCACACGGTGGGTGTTAGTGCAAAAAGAAAATATTTGTATTTCTCCCTCTTACCGACTTAAGCACTTCAAAATTGACGTTGTCTAGAAGGTTTGAGATTACTGGTGGTGGTATATTCCATTGTTTAACATATTCTGAAATAAAGAAGGAACATATTATGAGTCAAAAGAACGATAATCAGGAAATCTCTTCCCTGCCCATTCAACAGAGTGATCTGAGTAAGGGCCTGGATACTCCCCAGGCTGTTGGAGGGTGTGGGAGGTGAGAGCCAGGTAGCCAGGAAGAGAAGACTCCAGAACCAGATTGAAACCTGGTGAGTATCCAAAGCTGAGGTGGAAACCTGGCATTTTTTTTTTCTTAGAGGCAAGGTCGCACTCTGTCACCCAGGCTGGAGTGCAGTTGCATGATCATAGCTCACTGCAACCTCAGACTACTGGGCTCAAGTGTTCCTCCTGCTCTCAGATAGCCTCAGCCTCACAAGTAGCTGGGAACATAGGCTCATGACACCATGCCTGGCTACTTCAAAGATTTTTTTTTTTGAGACGGAGTTTCGCTCTTGTTACCCAGGCTGGAGTGCAATGGCACGATCTCGGCTCACGGCAACCTCCGCCTCCTGGGTTCGGGCAATTCTCCTGCCTCAGCCTCCTGAGTAGCTGGGATTACAGGCATGCACCACCATGCCCAGCTAATTTTTTGTATTTTTAGTAGAGACGGGGGTTTCACCATGTTGACCAGGATGGTCTCGATCTCTTGACCTCGTGATCCACCCGCCTCGGCCTCCCAAAGTGCTGGGATTACAGGCTTGAGCCACCGCGCCTGGCTACTTCAAAGATTTTTATGTTTTTGTAGAGACTGGGTCTCCCTGTGTTTCCCAGGCTGGTCTTGAACTCCTGGCCTCAAGTGATCCTCCTGCCTTGGCTTCCCAAAGTGCTGGGATTACAGGAGTGAGCTGCTGTGCTCAGCTGTACTCTTTCTTTTCTTTCTTTCTTCTTTTTTATAAAGACTGAGTCTCGATATGTTTCCTAGGCTGGCCTAGAACTCCTGTGCTCAAGCAATCCTCCTGCTTCAGCCTCCCAAATAGCTGGGACTACAGGACCATGCTACCATGCCTGGCTAATTAAAAAAAATTTTTTTTACAGAGATGGGGTCTTGCTATATTGCCCAGGTTGGTCTTGAACTCCTGGGCTCAAGTGATCCTCCTCCCTCAGCCTCACAAAGTGTTGGAATTACACGCCTGAGCTACCACCGTGCCCAGCCAGGGATCCAAATACTGATACCAGGTGATATGCTAGCATGTCTGTCCTTACTACCTTAAGAAACCACACGAGTGAGGCCCTGCTGTTTTAGTGTTATTTGTGCTATTTTGAACCTCTTTAGTTAGAGTTAACCAGAAATATGTGCAGATGGCATGCTGCATCATCATCTCTGGTGGTCGTAAGAGTTAACATCTTAGCCTCTTGATTTCTCATGTCCCTAGTGACTATGAGACTAGGTGCCCAGATCCATGTTTCCTCTAAGCATGAGGATAGTGTTGGTCCTGAGGACACCTAGTGGGCAGAGATTTCTTTAGGAGCTATAGGAGAGGCATTTTGATTTGACTTCCATTATTTTGCCATCTCAGGGTGCTGAAGCCCATATCTGACCACAAAAGTGTCCTATGGCCTAGCTGGTGACCAGATGACCTTATGCTCAGCACACTGCTATGTGGCTCACACGCTGGTGCCTGTCCTCTGCCACTGACTCTTCTAGGTGTTCAGGTTATTAATGCAACATACCAGTAAGGCCAGACCAGAACTTCTTCAGAACCTCAGCCATCTCTCCTTGTACCTGGTCAATCTGCAAGAGATAGGAGGAGCATTTGCATCAGCATTATCTGGTAGTCCACAGCTAGTTGTCACAGTCAGGGAAAGCAGTCTTAGGGCCTCTGTACAAGCAGATTTTTTTTTTTTTTTTTTTTTTTTTTTTTTTTTTTTTTTACACAGTCTGGCTTTCTCACCAGTGGAGTGTGGTGGTGCCATCTTGGCTCACTATAACCTCTGCCTCCCGGGTTCAAGCGATTCTCCTGCCTCAGTCTCCTGAGTAGCTAGGATTACAGGCACCTGCCACCACCCCCGGCTAATTTTTTTTGTGTTTTTAGTAGAGATGGGCTTTCACCATGTTGGCCAAGCTGGTCTCCAACTCCTGACCTCAGGTGATCCATCCACCTTGCTGGGATTACAGGCATGAGCCACCTCTCCCAGCCATACACTTTTATTTTGTGTGATAAACTCCTGCTCCTCTTTGAAGGCTGAGTTCAGGCATCACTTCTTTAGTAAACCCACCCTCTGCCTCCCACTTGGTGCTCTCTCTACTGTGTTTTCTTGCCCTGTTGGCAGCTGTTTGCATGAAGGTCTTTGTCCCCTGTCAGGTGGTTAGTTATCTGAGGTTGGGGATCGTACCTTCTAAGCTGCTTTCACTGAGCACACAGCCTGGTGTGTCATGTAGCCGGCTGGTCAAGTTGAGACAAAGGCTGCCCTGGGCTAGTGATCATCTCTGGAGTTTGCCTCTCAATGAGTCCCCATTATCTCAGGGCTGATATAGGGGCCCCAGCTCATAAACTCTTCAGTTATAAAGTTATGAGGCTGTTCACTTCTGGGTGCTCATTTTGTGCCTCCACCTAACATGTGGCTGACAGGCTCTTAATACTTTTTGCCTTAAAAAAACATGTTTATATGTTCCGATTTGGTCCTCACACTAGAATGTCAGTTCCTAGAGTTAGACGCCTCATTACTACTTCATGTGGCATTTGCAGGGCTGGGCACATAGCATGTGCTCACTAAACATTTATTGATTTAAGATTTGAGATGGCTGGGCTCAGTGGCTCACGCCTGTAATCCCAGCACTCTAGGAGGCCGAGGTGGGAGGATCACCTGAGGTCAGGAGTTCAAGACTAGTCTGGCCAACATGGTGAAACCTCATCTCTACTGAAAATACAAAAAATTAGCTGGGTGTGATGGCAGGTGCCTGTAATCTCAGTTAGGAGGCTGAGGTAGGAGAATCGCTTGAACCTGGAGGCAGAGATTGCAGGATGCAGTGAGCCGAGATCACGTCACTGCACTCCAGGCTGGCGACACAGCAGGACTGTTCAAGATGGAATATCTTAAACATGGAGTTGGTGGGGGAAACGCACCAGTTTCCATCTCTGTTGCTGGCGCCTGGTCACTGGAGCCTTCCCTCACTCCGTAAACTCCTCTCCTCCCTGGCTCTCTTGGGGTGATCTGCAGGGTGGTCTGCATGCTCGCTCCATGGAACATGGGTTGAAAATAGCTGACTGGAGAGCTGAACCAGGGACAGCTGCCTCTGATTCTGAGAAGCTCTCATGAGCCTAGCTAGATTAGAGTCTACTTATTAGGGGATGTCCAATCTTTTGGCTTCCCTAGGCCACACTGGAAGAGGAAGAATTATCTTGGGCCACACATAAAATACACTAACGATAGTTGATGAGCTAAAAAAAAAAAAATCACAAAAAAAAATTGCATAATGTTTTGAGAAAGTTTAAGAATTTGTGTTGAGCCACATTTGAAGCCCTCCTGGGCCACATATGGCCTGTTGCTGTGGGTTGGACAAGCTTGGTCTAGGTCAGATTTTCTTCCTTGCTGTGAATTGCAAGTCCTGCTGTATGCATCAGGTACACCAGGATGCCACAAAGGCCAGAATTCCACACCCTGCTCATGTCAGCGCCTGAGTGTGGAATGCACACTGGGCGTGGGTAGCTGTGTTTGAAGAGCTCCCAAGAGAGCCTAGGTTTTGAGCCGCTGTGCTCCCTGACACTGTCTGTGGTTCGTCTTCCTGACCTTCTCTTTTGTCTTCTTTTTTTTGAGACAGAATCTTCCTCCTGTTGCCCAGGCTGGAGTGCAGTGACACAAACTTGGCTCACTGCAACCTCTGCCTCATGGGTTGAAGCGATTCTCCTGCCTCAGCCTCCCGAGTAGCTGAGATTACAGGCCTCTGCCACCACTCCCAGCTAATTTTTGTACTTTTATAGAGATGGGGTTTCACCATATTGGCCAGGCTAGTCTCGAACTCCCACCTCAGCCTCTCAAAGTGTTGGGATTACAGGCGTAAGCCACCGTTCCTGGCCATTCCCGACCTTTTCTTTCCAGAGTGTGTGGGGCACTGAGCACCTGGCACTACAATTTTTTCTCACATGTCATTGATAAATATATTGAAAACGTAATAAACTTACAGCATCGGGGGGTGTTGTACTATGTTCAGAGCTGTCGGGAAACAAAGTACAGAGAAACATTAGGTGCAGGTAAAAATGCAACTCCATTGTAGAGCTAAGTAGGTCATTAGTTGCTCCTTAAAATCACTTATAACTTGGAAACTTCTGAGCAGAAAGAGTAAATGTAGGATGAATAACAGCATGTGAGTTCAAAATTCTGTCCTGATTTCCTTGTAATTTTGCAGATACTTCCCAAGAGCCTTATGACTATTTTGATTATGTAGTTTTTTTTTTTCCAAGACAGAGTCTTGCTCTGTAGCCCAGAGCTGGAGTGCGGTGGTGTGACCTTGGCTCACTGCAAGCTCCGCCTTTAGGGTTCAAGTGATTCTCCTGCCTCAGCCTCCCAAGTAGCTGGGATTACAGGTGCATGCCACCCCGCCCAGCCAATTTTTGTATTTTTAGTAGAGACGGGGTTTCACCATGTTGGCCAGGCTGGTCTGGAACTCCTGAGCTCAAATGATCTACCTGCCTCGGCCTCCCAAAGTGCTGGGATTACAGGCGTGAGCCATTGTGCCCAGCCGCTTACATGATTTTTATCAGGCCTTGAGATCATCTCTTACACAGACAGGGGGATTATGTAGTTATAGACAGTACCTCAGAAGTCTGATGTCTGTGATCAGTTTGTCTTTTGAAATCTTGCACACCAATGAGATGATTAAGTCCTGAATTAATACAAAACAAGCATGAGTTAATAATAACACCTTGGCCTGGCTACTCAGCAGACATGTCACATTGTGTGATGGCTAGCAGGGTCCCAGGTCACAGGGTTGTCCGCCCGGCCTTAACCTCCTAAGCCAACCTGCTCACTCCATTCTCTCCTTGGGGGCTGAGCCTGCTGGCCTGGCTGGTCTCCCTCATCCTAGGTACATCCAGATGCTCCGAGCCTCAGGGTTTAGGGTGTATCTCATCCCACTAAACACTGCTCCTTGCAGTTGTGAACTTGCAGGAAGAACTTGCAGTTCTTCTTCACAACTCTGCTCTGATTCATTTCTCAGCACTCACCGTTTTCCCGGTGACAGGGCGCTCACCATCCTTGGCGATGTTAACCCAGTAGCTGGCTTGGATTTGATTGGCTGGCTGGTGGGAGTAGGTTAGTTTGGTGATTCTTGCATCCAGGTTATTTCTCTGTTGGAAAGAAGTTGTCATTTAGAGTGTGGTGAGGAAGGACTGCACAATGTTACAGATGAGACACTCGCATCATTCAGAGAGTTCATGCAAATATTATTGATTGTCTAGTGTAAGTTGGTCATCTGGGTGCTGGCGCAGCTGGTGTGTCCATGACAGATAAGGTCTATTTCCAAACATTCACCTTGATGACGTTTCTTTCCTTTGAAGGATGGTGGGTCATGCAACATGTAAAATCTTACTTTTCTATTACAGCTTGTCCAAGCTGAAGCGTCTCTCTCTTTGCCCTTATGGGAAGAGACTTCTGCACTTGATCACTTTGGGACACTCTCTTAAAAAAAATTATACTTTGTTTCAAAGACAGTCTGGCACATAGAAGTCAATTATGATTGTTACTATTGCTACAATTCCCTCTGCCACTTCTAGGGCTGGTAGCAAATGAACACCTGCCATGTGTTTTTTGCTCATTCTGTGACTGTTGGCGCTTCCTTCCCTCACTCTGGTTATCTGTAAAATGGGGATAAGAAAACCTACATCTCAGTGCTGTTTTGAGGATGAAATGATGTTAGTTATATAAAGGCACCTGATTTTGTTCCTGGCTCACAGATGGCACTCGGAACCCTTTTTTTTTTTTTTTTTTTTTTTTTTTTTTTTTTTTTTCCTGAGACAAGGTCTCACTCTATCGCCCAGGCTTCAGTACAGTGGTGCAATCACAGCTCACTGCAGCCTCAACCTCCCCAGCTCAGGTGATCCTCCCGCCTCAGCCTCCTGAGTAGCTGGGACTACAGATGTGCACCACCACACTTGGCTAATTTTTTGTAGAGACGAGGTCTCACCATGTTGCCCAGACTAGTCTTGAATGGCCTTGAACTCCTGAACTCAAGTGATTTGCCTGCCTCAGTCTCCCAAAGCATGGGGATTACTGGCATGAGCCACTTCACCCAGCTTCAGAACATGTTTTTCCTCTCATGTCCCTGTTCTCTGCCTTCCACCAACATAAGCCAGGGCCCATTTACATGACAATGAAGGGAAAAGGTGCCTCTTATGGCAATTGTGTATTAACCTGGAAGAACTGTTCAGAATCCACTTTCACCCCCTCCTTATTGCTATCAGAGGTTGACCGGCCGAGCTTGAGGACAGTGCTTAGCCACGCTGGACCCTGTGGGTGGCCCTTACCTGCACAGAGCTCTGCTTGGCAGTGTCAGTGATGATGGCCTTGAGCATCATGTGGGATAGAATTAGAGAAATGCTGGCATTTTTAGTAACTGAAGAGAGAGAACTTCCAGGCACAGCAACTGCATTTTTGTTAAAGTGGGCTTCAGCCTAGAGTGAAAAAACAGAAGACAATCTCTGTGATCACATGAAACCAACACCCATTTCAATGCCTTTGGAGGTCTGACTGGGGAGGTGACAAGTGAGGTGGCCCTGAAGGTATCGCCGTGGGAGGAGCTTGTGGGGGCTGTTGACCTCCCCGACTCTGCTGTGGTATGGATCATGGGGCATGGTGGGGCTTGCAGTGTCCGGATGGCAGGCACTGGGTGAAGGAGGAGCTGCTGCTCAGCTCCGGCTGCCCGTGCCCCCATACAGCGTGGCTCAGGACACCCAGACCTCTGACTTCCCAGGATAAGCCACATTCATTATTTTTCAGGCAAATGGCCCCTGTTTAAGTGTTGCTCCCAGTAAGGTGTATATGTGTATAGGCACATCTGCACGATAGTCACTTTTGTTTTCTTGAGACAGAGTCTCACTCTGTTTTCCAGGCTGGAGTGCTGCCGTGCAGTCTCGGCTCACTGCAACCTCTGCCTCCTAGGCTCAAGTGATACTCCCACTCCAGCCTCCCTAGTAGCTGGGACTACAGGCACATGCCACCATGCCCAGCTGAGTTTTGGATTTTTTGTAGAGACAGGATATCGTCATGTTGCCAAGGCTGGTCTCTAACACCTGGGTTCAAGCGATCCACTCACCTTGGCCTCCCAAAGTGCTGGGGTTACAGGCTTGAGCCACCTTGCCTGGCCAACAGTCACATTCCTCACCTTCCTGTACTTGCACTATCAGCCTGGTGTGCCCTCCTTCCTTCCCACATTCTAAAGCCCATCTTGTTTATAATTTCCTTTCACGGATATTCTCGCCTTCATTGGTTAATAGGCATTTCCCCCTGCTTATGAAATGCAAACTCCACATAGCAGGAAATTTGGAACGTTCAGCAAAGTTTACTTTGCTGTTTAAAAACTAGCAATAGCCAGGCATGGTGGTGCACATCTGTAATCCCAGCACTTTGGGAGGCTGAGGCAGGCGGATCATTTGAGGTCAGGAGTTCGAGACTAGCCTGACCTACATGGTGAAACCCAGTGTCTACTAAAAATACAAAAAAATCAGCCAGGTATGGTAGCGCATGCCTGTAGTTCAAGCTACTCGGGAGGCTGAGGCAGAAAAATTGTTTGAACTCAGGTGGTGGAGGTTGCAGTGAGCCGAGATTGCGCCACTGCACTCCAGCCTGGGCGACAGAGTAAGACTCTGTCTCAAAATAAAACTAACAGTAGCTGGGCGCAGTGGCTCACACCTGTAATCCTAGCACTTTGGGAGGCCCAGACAGGAGGATCACTTGAGCCTAGGTGTTTGAGACCAGCCTGAACAACATAGAAAGACCTGGTCTCTATCGAAAAATTAAAAACATTAAAAGTTAGCTGAGCACCTTGGTGCACACCTGTGGTCCCAGCTACTTGAGAGGCTGAGGTGGGAGGATCACCTGAACCTAGTAGATCCAGGCTGCAGTGAGCCGTGATTGTGCCTCTGCACTCCAGCCTGGGTGACAGATGAGATCCTGTCTCAAAAACAAAACAAAAAAACTAACAACAATTTCACAAGCATTTCTGTAAACCATTACAAATGCTGTCAGCATGTCTAATGATCTTGTACTTGGTTTAATAATTTGCTTTTTGTTTCAGGTTTTTTGTTTTTTAAATTCCCATCATGAATACCTCTATGTCTTTGTGCTTAAATGCATCTGTGCTTCAGATTTTTTGGACAGATTCCTGAAAGTGAAGCTACCTGAGTCCAAAACCTTCCCTTTTTCAGCACTTTTCATGACCTGGTTTTGCCTTCCCAGTGGCTTAGAGGGGTGGGTAGGGTGAGTGGGTTCTGTCATTTCTTATGTATTGTCCTTTAGGTGTCTAGATCTGTGCTGGGCTGATCCTGATAGCCAATAAATGGTTGTCATGGTGGGAATGGCCTCAGTATTGTACACTGGACTTAAGTGGAAGAGAACACATGGTTGGTCCTGGAGCAGGCACTCAGGTGCGGTGGCAGAAGCCTGGAGATTCACCCCAGGGTAAGGATGCAGGCTGGTTTGTGATATCTTTCAAATATATATTGTGAGTTTAGGGGTTTCTCTGCTTCTGTCTATTAATAGAAGCCGTCATAAGGGCAGGGTGCACTTACACAGTAGAATGTTGAAAGACCCTGGGGGGACATTCTGGAACTTTCAAAGGAGTATGTGAACAAGCCCGTAGCTGCAAGAGAGAAGAGAGAGAGACATGGAGATGCTGCAGCACCGCGCTGACAGGTGGTGCACCCTCAGCCCTCTGCCCAGTACTGCCCTCCCCAGGGGGCCAGTCTGGACTCCTCCCGGTCCCTGGATCCCGGGCAGAAAGCTGCTGCCTCTCCTGGATTCTCATGCATGTGGAAGGAGGCCATGGGGAGTGGGGGGGCTTACACGAGGGCTTGGCCCTGTTCCTGATGAGCCCCAACTCCAAGGGAGGAAGAGCCTCACTGGCTGGGTCCCGTGTCTCCTCTACTCTGGAACTTGTCAAATGTGATCGATTCCCTGCCTTAGCTCTCTTGGTGGCTGCCAACCTCCCACGTCCTGTTATCCCTATCTCTTTGCATGTCTGGGGACATTGAGGGATTTCTGATTCTCAGCCTCCCGGGGTGAGGGCCTGGGACTTTCCTCCCGTGATTCCGTGCTTGTGTGTGCTGGGCAGATTATTTGGGACTGGCGAGCTATAGCGAGGACTGCCAGGGGTTTTGTCCTGTTCCCTTCCTGGGGACTAAGTCAAAGTGAGACTGAGACTTAGGTAAGCTGGGGTATCTTGTGGCCAGAAGGTGCTGGGGTGAGGTTGTTTGGGTGCTGGGGCGAGGGTGTCTGGGTGTTGGGAGGTGTGTGGTGCTATATTCCACAGCCCCTTCCTCTCTGATCCGTCTCCTGGTAGGATCCCTTAAGGACCCTTGGTTATCTCTTGCCGTTGGCCTGGGCAGCCCCCTGGAGGTTGCATGTTTGTACTCACAATTCTTGCAGTCGCTGCTGTCACTGAGAACAATGTCACAGGAGTTTGGTTCTTCCATCTGTGAAGTCACCGCTGGTTAGCTTTGCCAAGGAAGCACCATCAGCCCGCCCTCCTTCTCTCCCCACAGTCTCTTCTTTTTCTCCCCTGTTCTCCTCCTCTTTTTTTTTTTTTTTTTTTTTTTGAGACAGAGTGCAGTGGCACAATCTCGGCACACTGCAGCCCCTGCCTCTCGGGTTCCAGTGATTCTCCTGCCTCAGCCTCTTGGGGAGCTGGGATTACAAGCATGTGCCAGGACACCTAGCTAATTTTTGTATTTTTAGTAGAGACAAGGTGTCGCCATGTTGGCCAGGCTGGTCTGGAACTCCTGACCTCAGGTGATCCACCCACCTCAGCCTCCCAAAGTGCTGGGATTATAGGCATGAGCCACTGTGCCCAGCCCTCTCCTTTCCTTCTTTCTGTCCTGTTTCCTTGGCCTCCTATTTGGCAGAAGTCATCCCTCCCTCCCACCAGCCCAAGGCATTGTCAGTGCTCCTGGTGGGCTTTTTCGAGCTGGAGGGGCTGCTGGTCCCCAAGTCTCATAGATCCCAAGGGCCTGACACCTCATTCCTGAGTGTCTCCTGGCATCAGGCATATCTGAGGGAAGGGACCCCTTTGTCTTCCCCAGTGATGTAGCCCTCCAAGAGGCACCCTCCCCTTTCCCAGGACTTACATTTTTACTTATTTTTACTGTCAACAGTTGAAGAACAATGTCATCCAAGGGTAAAGGGAGAGACAAAGGCAAAATATCCGTGACCCTGGGAAAGAGGCATGAGGAGAACAATGGGATTTTGTGTTTCTGGATTTGCCCAAATGGTGATGAACCTACCCATTGACGAAACAGTGGAAATGCTATCCCACAGCTTAATCAGTGCACACACCTGAGCCCTTCACCTTCCGTTTCAGTCATTAAGGAAGATGTAAGGACACCTGGCAAAACGACCAAAGCACATGACGTCTGGCCCCACAATCCCCCCCTAGGGGAGTTCATTCTTCAGATGCTCATGCCTGGTGGGGACAGACTTGTCTGTGACCTTATTCATGGTAGTTGGGTATAAAAATTGGGTATAAAAGTCAGTAATTGGAAACAATCAAGTGTTCTTTGATAAGGGATTAGTTAAATTATGATGCATCTTCATTAAGAAATGGTAGAGTCATAAAAAGCGAAGAAGCTGTTTATATACACATAGATTCTTAGCAATTTTTTTCTTTTTCTTTTTCTTTTCTTTTCTTTTTTTTTTTTTTTTGAGATGGAGTTTCGCTCTTGTTACCCAGGCTGGAGTGCAATGGCGCGATCTCGGCTCACCGCAACCTCCGCCTCCTGGGTTCAGGCAATTCTCCTGCGTCAGCCTCCTGAGTAGCTGGGATTACAGGCACGCGCCACCATGCCCAGCTAATTTTTTGTATTTTTAGTAGAGACGGGGTTTCACCAGGTTGACCAGGATGGTCTCGATCTCTTGACCTCGTGATCCACCCGCCTCGGCCTCCCAAAGTGCTGGGATTACAGGCTTGAGCCACTGCGCCCGGCTCTTTTTTTTTTTTTTTTTTTTTGGAGAAGTCGTCTCACTCTGTCACCCAGGCAGGAGTGCAATGGCACGATCTTGGCTCACTGCAACCTTTGCCTCCTGGGTTCAAGCAATTCTTCTGCCTCAGCCTCCCTTTTTTCTTTCTTTTTCTTAAAAGACTAGTCAAGTACAATAGTGAGAAGAGGGTAGAGAGTAGAACAAGAAGTTGAGTCTGTAATTGACTGTGAATAGTCAATTGAGATTACTCGAAAACTTTGCATCAGCTCCTAGCAATTTTTTTCTATGAGACAAAGCCCAGTAAAGTGTATATTACATGTGTGCCCTTCTGAGTGTTTATAGATACAACAAATTTACTTGGATGGGGACCCAGCATTTCTGAAAGCAAACATAAGAGACTGGGCCTGTTGGTTGCTTCCAGGGAGGAAAATTAACCAGCTGGCATTCAGAGGTAGGGGACTTTTCATTCTCTGCCCTTTTGCATCTTTTGCATCTTAATCTAGATATTAATGTCATGCTCATGCCAAAAATAGAATGAGTTATTACTTGTGCAGTTACTACTTTAGCAGGCAGTAGGCAGGGATTGTGAGAAAAGGCTGTTCTCAAACATAGTGGGCCATTTCTCAGCAGAGACCCCTCTCTGGGCCTCTGTTTACTCATCCTTCAAGGCGCTGCATTGGACAAGCTTATGAGTAAGGGTGCTGGCAGGGGGTGTGCTGGCACATAGGTTGGGGGATCCAGAAGATGAAAAAAATGGTCTCACGTACGTCTGTATTAGTTGAAGAGTCACTTTCTTAACCTCGAAGGCTTTTTCCTGGACCTGGAGTTTGACACAGTGGGTGTCATTTGTGGAAAGGCCAATCTTCAGAGCCGCATCCCCATGCACGTTAAATCCCACCAGGCTGAGGACAGGTCCCAAGAGGCTGTGGAGAGGAAGACGCAGGTGAAGCCAGGGCTGGCTCCAAGGTGGCGCTCAGGCCCAGCGGTGGGCATGGCAGGAATCGACTCCATGAGTTTGTCAAGGTTCATCCAAGAGGGGAGATGTTCGGTGCTTTCCAGCAGACGTGCTCCAAGGCTGGATGTCCCCTGTCCACTGGGTCCAGAGCCTGGCTCACAGGTGGCAGGCAGTAAACGACTGGCAAAGTCATGCTCCTAACTAGCTCTTAGGAGGTCATCTGCTCTTGGCACGGGGCTGGGTTGTAATGAGATGTCCATTACAGGCTCACTGTTGTATGAATCTTGTAGCCGTGTGGGCAACAGCATAAGAAAAACCCATCATGGACCAGAGCTGATCTTATGAACAAGGGACTTTCTAGACAATACAAATGACTCTTTCTGCCCCTGCTGTCTGTTGTGGCCATAGTGTGAGCTCTGAAGGCTGACTGCCTAGGTCTAAACCCTGTTGGTGCCATCTTTTTGCTGTGATTTCGAGTAAGGTCTGCAACCACCTTTGCTAGTCTGCATTGGTATTCTTATCTGGAAACAGGACTGCTTCTCTGGGAAAGCTGTGGAGAGGCTCCAAGGACTTTGTGGACAATTAGGTGCCTGGTGGACACGGAGCCAGTGAGAGGTATCAGTGTTGGGTGTCTTAGTCCACAAAGCCATCCTGTCTCCAGAGGAGATGTCTTTTCCCTCTGATGTCTTCACATGTGCCCTGAGCCTACACTGTTTTTTTTTTTTTTTTTTTTTTTGAGACGGAGTTTCGCTCTTGTTACCCAGGCTGGAGTACAATGGCGCGATCTCGGCTCACCGCAGCCTCCGCCTCCTGGGTTCAGGCAATTCTCCTGCCTCAGCCTCCTGAGTAGCTGGGATTACAGGCACGCGCCACCATGCCCAGCTATTTTTTTTTTTGTATTTTTAGTAGAGACAGGGTTTCACCATGTTGACCAAGATGGTCTCGATCTCTTGACCTTGTGATCCACCTGCCTCGGCCTCCCAAAGTGCTGGGATTACAGGCTTGAGCCACTGCGCCCGGCGAGCCTACACTGTTAACATGTTCTTCCTCCATGAGTTGATACTGACTGAGGACAGGGATTGTCTTTAATCCCATCTTTGTGCTCAGCACAGCATCTGTCCCAGAGGAGTGTTTCTCACCCATATGTCAGACGGGTGGATGGATGGATATGTGCATGTTGACATGTGTGGCTTGCCAAGGACATTTTTTTCCTCAGCTTGGGGTTCTAGGGAACAATCTCGGCTCACTGTAAGCTCCGCCTCCTGGGTTCAAGCAATTCTCCTGCCTCAGCCTCCTGAGGAACTGGGATTACAGGCACATACCACCATGCCCAGCTAATTTTTGCATTTTTAGTAGAGATGGGGTTTCACCATGTTAGTCAGGCTGGTCTTGAACTCTTGACCTTGTGATCTGCCCACCTTGGCCTCCCAGAGTGCTGGGATTATAGGTATGAGCCACTGTGCCCAGCCAGCCAAGTGCATTTTAATCATCTCCATTTCCCCAGCTGATCAGGTTGGTGCTGATTTCCTATGGAGAGTCCAGATGATTTGGAAAGTATGTGTAGTTTAAGAGCAGGGCAGGCATCACCATGAGATGTGTTCCCTTTGGTTTCCCTTGTCACCTTCCAAGTATGAACTGGTGCCCATTTCCCATGAATACCTTTGCTCACATGATTGGAGGATGAGGCTCCCAGGCCCATTCTCTTGCTTTGCCTGTCTGCACCGGGGCAGAAGGGCAGCTGTGTGCAGTACCCACTTTGCCCTACCCTCACCCATGCTGCTGTCCTCTCTGCTGTCTCTACCTGGCCTTTGCTCACTGGAGCTTGCAACCCTGGGGCACGGTGACCCAGCAGACGGCTGTGGGCACAGACTCACCCGTTTCCTCCTATGAAGATGGTAGTCATGGCTTGGACGTGGATCTCGTCACCTGTCATGGTTGACTTCATGCTCTCCACAGTCACTTTTTCAACATGTAATCTGCAAAGCAAAAGCATCAAGAGGCAGTCCTGTTTCAAGGAATCAGCCTGGACAGCAGAAGAAACACCTCTGAAGCAGACAATGAACAGCCTACCAAGCCACCATCCAGTCCCTTGACCCGTCAGCCCTCTTATCTGCCCAGGCCTATAAGCTCAATAATCTTGATCCTGTTTATCCCTGAAAGGGTGCAGGCACAGCACAGAGCAAAACTATTTCTTGGTGAAATATGCCAATACCAAGTAATATACCCATCCCAATCCGTGGGACCACTGGAAGTTGAACACGAGGATCCAAATCAGCAGGTTTTCTGGTAGAGAAGCCACAGGTCAAGGAAGCACTTACCCCAGCAAGAGCTGTTCCAGGTCAGCATTTTTCAGCAGGTCTGAGAGTCCATTGCCGATGCCTGCCGGCAGGGCGCTGTTCAGCACACCCCGAGCAGACTCTTTGAGGTCTCTGACTTTGTCGGTCACATCATTCAGAGGCTGCTGGAGAGCAGAGAGACCAGTGCCATCGAGCAGTCCTTTTACAAGGTTCTTGTCTGAACCAGTGGATAGTAGGCTCCCCAGACCCTCCATCCCCTGGGGTAGCAAACCACTGACAGCACCAGTGACTTCTGAGAGCAGTGGGAGGTTTGAGGACTTGTCACCATTTCCCTCGCCTAGGAGGCCACCGAGGCTGCCACCTCCAAGTATATCAAGGGATGAAGTGAGGTCTAATAGAGACAGCAGGTCCAAACCGCTCACTGTGGATAACACGGTCCCAAGCAAACCAGCCAAGTCAACTTTCTTACACTTGAGCATCTTCTCAATCTGCGGGGGCAAGGTGGCATTCATATCTGAAAAGTAAAGAGACACATTGTTGCTGTGGCCTTCCCAGTTGGTTCAGCTAGAAGAAGCTTCCCTGCCGGGCAACAGAACCTTTGAATGGAGGGGCCCACAGAAACTGTATATGGTGCGTGGTGCCTCCTGGAAGAAACAGTCCTTGCTGCTGCCTACTCCAGGGACAGCCTGGTGTCAGAGAAATTTGCCTGTGCCCTTGTTAAGAGCTACCATTTATTAGCAACTGCTATGAGATCAGCCTGCTGTTGAGTACATCTAAAGGGTTTTGGACATGGAGTGAAGGGTTCTTGTGCCACTGCACTCCAGCCTGGGCAACAGAGCAAGACCCTGTCTCAACACAAACAAAAACAAAAAGGACAGGGTGCGGTGGCTCACGCCTGTCATCCCAGCACTTTGGGAGGCTGAGGCAGGCAGATCGCCTGAGGTGAGGGGTTCGAGACCAGCCTGACCAACATGGTGAAACCCCGTTTCTATTAAAAATGCAAAAAATTAGCCAGGTATGGTGGCACATGCCTGTAATCCCAGCTACTTGGGAGGCTGAGGCAGGAGAATCGCTTGAACCCAGGAGGCAAAGGTTGCAGTGTGCCGAGATTGCGCCATTGCACTCCAGCCTGAGCAACAAGAGCAAAACTCCATCTCAAAAACAAAACAAAACAAAACCAAACAAAACAAAACAAAATTAACAACCATTGCCTCCAAATGACTATGTGATGGGTACATAGCTGTCTTTTTTTTTTTTTTTTTTTTTTAACCATGTCTGGCCTTTTTTGTACGTATTTGAAGTATTTTGTACCAAGGAAGGCTGCTGGAGGAGCAAAGCATAGGTTCTTCCTGAGTTAAAGCAGTCCACATTGGAGCTGTGGGGTTGGTCCTGTGGTCACTCAGCACATGCCAGGTCTCCCTGTGTGGCCCTGTCCCCTCATCCCGGATGGCTGAGGTGGGCCATGGCTGCGAGGCTGCCGTCGGAGCACCGAGAGCCTTCCTGCTGGCCGTCATTCACTAGTAAATCCTTGTTCCTTCTGGCTCCTCCCTGGGAGTCACTTCTTGGCCTGGCCTTAAATCCTGGAGTTGTTCTGCCCTCAACCTGTGTGGGGTTCTTAGAGGGGCATCTGTACTCTCCTCATTGCCTCACGCAGGGAGTGAGACTCAGGGAGTGAGTGAACAAAGGGAGTTTGGAGAAAGCAAGTCTGGTCAAGGGGATGATCGTGTGGCCCAGATTTCCCATTTCCCGGCTCCTCAAAGTAGGCGGAGGTTTCAGCACCCATGGGAGTCTGGGTGAGCCCTGGGGCCCAGCAGGGAGGGGCTGGGTGGTGTCTCTGTACAGTCTCCAGGTGAGAAGAGGCACGTGAATTGGGGGTAATCAGACAGTCTGCCAGGGTTGTGTAGACCAGCCCTAGCCTACATGTGGACCCTGGCCCAGCAGCCTCAGCGCCATCTTGGAGCAAATGAGGAAGCTGGACTCTCAGGCTCACTGCAGCAGTGCCTGACCAGAATGGCCAGGAGGACCTGGGCATCTGTGCTGTCACAAGCTCCTAAAGTGAATCCAGTGCCCCCTCATGTTCGGGACCTACTTGTTCAGAAGGCGGAAACCCCCTGAGCTTAGGAATGAGAAGCCTGTGTGAGCGGCTAAAAGGACCAAGGAAGGGTGTGTGGGGGAAACAGCCCTTACTTACAGTCTTCGAGTTTGCTGTCAGATATGAAGTACTTGGCGATGGGTAGACACCTGCTTCCTTTGGTCCTCACTGGGTATTTTCTGGGCAGAGGGACTTTTGGGACTTGCAGACCTTTAGGGAGTGATCCAGGTGGAAGAGGGATGGGTAATCCAGGTGGAAGAGGGATGGGTAATCCAGGTGGAAGAGGGACAGGTAATCCAGGTGGAAGAGGGACAGGCAAATTGGATATTATGGCAGGACTAGTTGGGAGATCCAGCTGGCCAAGTGCTTCTTCCTGGATGGCCAACATGACAGCCAGGGCCCAGAGAGCCAGCATCTTGGTGGCTGATACCTGCAAAGGAAGGCTTCTTCAGATACAACATTCCCCATGGACCATCGGGCCGCCATGGAGGTTTGTGTAGGACGTCCACATACTAGAGTCCTGGCCCTTGTGGAAGGGTGCCATTCACATCGTAGATATTCTAGTCTGTATGCTGCAGTCTTGGGAAAACGTTGCCGTATGTGGCAGTCAATGTCTTGAAGAAAGGGCTTTTTCTCCTTCTTTTCAACTGTGCATAAACCTACTCTCCAGGCTGGTCCCTGCTCACTGGTGTTACCTTCAGGTCACACATTCTCATGTCACCTTCCTCTGTCACAGGCGGCACCTGAGTCGCCTGCTGGGGAACTGAAGAGTTCTGAATCTTGCAGCTGTGCTCTCAGGTCTATGTCTCGTCACTGGGGTGTATGGTCATGTGTCTTAGGCGTCTGCTCACTCAGAGGATTCTGAGCCTCAGCAAGGAGGCAGAGAGCTGGGTCCACACCAAATTAGGTGTGGACCTCTTTGAGTCTGAGCTGTTCTGGGTGCCTTTTGAAGATTGATCCTCACTTTCGACCCTCACTTTCCTCCAAAACTGTGATTCCCAAGCTTTTCCCTCTAGTATTTATGGTGAGGTAGAGGTTTGCGTCCTCTGGCATTTTGCCTCTGTGAGGCAAGGTGAGCTTTTTTGTAAAATTGGGTTGTGGGTTTTTTTTTTTGGTTCGGTTTTTGAGACTCAGTCTTGCTCTGTCAAGGCTGGAGTGCAGTGGCATGATCTCAGCCTCCAAGTTTTAAGCAATTCTCCACCTCAGCTTCCCAAGTAGTTGGGATTATAGGTTCATGCCATCATGCCCAGATAATTTTTTGCGTTTTTAGTAGAGATGGGGTTTCACTATCTTGGCCAGGCTGGTCTCGAATTCCTGACCTTGTGATCCACCTGCCTTGGCCTCCCACAGTGCTGGGATTGCAGGCTTGAGCCACCGCGCCTGGCCTGTTTTTTTTTTTTTTTTTTTTTTTTTTTAGATAAGGTCTCACTCTGTTGCCCAGGTGGGAGTCCAGAGGGACAATCTTGACTCACTGCAGCCTCTGTCTCCCAGGCTCAAGCAATTCTCGTGCCGCAGTCTCCCGAGTAGCTGGAATTACAGGTGTGCACCATCACACCCAGCTAATTTTTGTATTTTAGTAGAGATGAGGTTTCACTATGTTGGCCAGGCTGGTCTCAGACTCTTGACCTCAGGAGATCTGCTCACTTCTGCCTCCCAAAATGCTGGGATTACAGGTGTGAGCCACCATGCCAGGTTGGGTTGTGGGTCTTTGCCCCTGCCATGTATAGGTATTAACAAAAGCAAGCTTTTTGCCATTTGCCAACACCCTAAAAAGGTGTCTATCCCAGCCTCGGCAACAGGGCGAGACCCCGTCTCTATAAAAAAAAAAATGAGCTGGGAGTGGTGGTTCATATCTGTAATCCTAGCTACTTAGAGGGCAGAGGTGGGATGATCTGTTGAGCCCAGGAAGTTGAGGCTGCAGTGAGCCAAGTTCACACCACTGCACTCCAGCCTGGACAACAGATTGAGACTCTATCCCTGAAAAAGAAGAGCAACTATGTCAGGAATGTGGTGAAGGGCACAATCTGAATGAAGCCAGTGAGAATTCTTCAGTTTAAATTGATTAGGCCTTAATGAAGAAAATCTTAACACAGCCTCATTAATTTTTAAAATTTCACTCTCGTCTGCAAGAAATTCAACCTCAGTATCTCACATGACATCTATGCATGCTTTCACAGAAAAAAAATCTTATGCCTGTGACTGAGTTGATGGCAATATTGTCAGACTTTGACTTGAGTGAAACCTTTTGAGAACCTCAGGACTAAATTTCTCATTCTCCGAAAAGCAATGCGTAACAGGCAATGGCCAACCACCTTCCCTGTGCTAGGCAGAGTGCATTTCAGCAGGGAAGGGACGTTGCTAAAGCAGTTAAAAATGCATAAGCCCTCGTTATCGGTCCTGAGATGGACCGTGTGTTGCTTGTTCCCACCTGTGAGTTGGAACTTCTCTTTCACCTGTCCCATGCAGCAAGTTCTTACCTTGCCTGGGGTGGATGGGTCCAAGTTTTCAGACGCCGCCTTTCCTCCTGCTCCCGTCTCCAGACTGTTGATGACAGAGCTGCATCCCAATTTTATAGACCAATGTCTGTCTGAAAAGTCATGAGACAAGAAGGGATACGATCCAAGCGTGCTGATAAGGCGGCGTGATTCAGGCTGCCTTCCAAGATCAGCCCCTTCTCCTCACTGCACCGTTGTCCTGTCTTCCTGAAAGATGTTCAGAGTGCTTGCAGCTTCTTGTGATGGGGGTGGGCAGGCCAGGTGTCTGCGTCTTAGAGGTAGGTTAGATAGCATAGCCTCTCAAAAATCAACTTATCCAATCTATGGCAAGAACAAGCTGCTTGGCATTCCATGAACCACATCTGGCACTTGTGGTTAAAGACTTCCTGTAGCAGGAGGAGCAAGAGCCTAAGGAAAAATCCCCAAGTCTGCGCAGGCATGGAACCCTGTAACTGACGTCCTCAAACTGACCTAGGCTCTTTTTGATGCTAAAAATATCCGAGTTTAGCTACACTCATGGGTAGAAATTTAAGATTCTAATGAGACATGCAGTGTACGTACTAGCGCATGCAGCCACTGCATCTGCAGACCTAAGAATCCACCCACAACGTGCTGAACAGCAGCCCCTCTTTCTTGCCCCTTGATGAATAATCACGCAAAATACCCA